AGCAAGCCTATAAAATTGGCTTTATTACTGATCAAAGCCTCACGTCAGCAGGCAACCAAATCTGTAAAACAATTTAACTTTCTGGAATAAGAACAACACTGAAATAAATGTTTATATCCATAGATTCTTCAAAATATTGCTCCCACAAAATGCTATACAACTGCTAAGTAGTTCTTTGGACATTCCTGAAAATAGAATGGAGAAGTCACTTACTATGATTGATTGCAAGAAAATAAAATATAGCTACAAATTAAAAATGCAGCAGTATGAATTGAACTTAAAAATGCAATACATTTGTTATAATTAACAGAAGAAGTACAACCTCTGCACTTCAGTGTTGCCCACAAGCTGAACATAGTGGGTTCATATTTGGATAGTTAACTCAAGAAGAAGCACTGCAGGCAGCCAATTTATCACTTCCTGACCATGTAAAGATTATGGAAGGACTTCCGGTGGATTTTGCGCGCGCGATGGCGGCTACTTTGTAGCCGTCTTTCCTGGGTAAGTGTAAGAACCGCTATGAACAGCAGACACCAGCTGTTCAGCGGTTCAAAATCCCCCTCCCGGGCAAAGGGGGGGGTAGAGAGTGTCTGAATAGTGGTAGAGCCTCTTTTGCACCCCCCAAGTTTTTTTTGGGGGGGTGAAAGGAGTGCTCCCACGGAGTTCGGACTTGTCTCCGCTTCCCAGCTGTTTTTGTCCTCAGGGACAAAACGAGCCGCGGCAAACACCTCCGTGCTTAAAGAGAACTGGTGAGTTTTTTTTTTTTATAAACGGACAGAGCTGAGTAGAGGATTTAGTTTTTGCTTTCTTTGATTTATTTGGATTTTAAGTTTTAAGACTTGCTTCTATTTTTATTCTCTCTTTTTATTTTTTTTTTTCTTTTTTTTCTCTTTGTTGAAAGGGAAAGTAAAATGGCGATCGGCAAATCTCTCGGTGTTTTTTTTTTTGAAGTTAGAATGCTGACCGGCAGGCTTTTTGGTGTTTCTTTTTCTTTCCTTTCCCTTTCCCCTTTTTATTTTCTTATGATTGGAATGGTTGTTTTTGGTATCTCTAAGTATTTTTTTTTTGGAACGGACTTTTTCTATTTAATTATTATTATTTTTTTTTCTTCTCCCTTCTTTTTATTGTAATGACTCTTTTTTGAAGGACTTTTTTCTGTTTAATTTTTTGTAATTTTTAAGAAGGTGTAAAGCTTTTTTTAATTTTTTTTCTCTTCCTTTTTTTTTTTCTTTTCCCTTTTTTCTTTTTATTATAATGACCTTCTTTGGAGGGAGTTATGATTTTTGAAGGAATTTTTATAATTTTTTAAGCAGGGCTAAAGGTTTTTCTTTAAGATGGCTCCAAAGCGTCCAGGGATTTCTACAGCTTCTAAATCAACAGTTTCACCCTCTTCTGGGGGTCAGCTAATAACTATGAAGGATTTGCAAAACATGATGGGAGATGTTATAATTCAAATTAGGGCCGAAATGAAAAAGATTTTAGAGGAAAATAATAAGATCTTGAGACAAGATTTTGTTTTGGCTTTAGAAGGAGTTGCTTCTGTTCTTGAAAAGGTGAACTCCCATGTGGAAGAGGTAGCTGAAAAAGTGTACATAATGGAGGGGAAAATTGAAAGTATGGAAAAAGAAATGGAAAATGAGATTCTTATGCTTCAATATGGACAAATGGAATATTCCTTAAGAATCAGAGGCCTGGAAGAGTCTTTGCAAGGAGATTTGAAAGAGATGGTTGCAAAGGACTTTGCATTGATTTTGAATAAAGAAAAAGAGGGAATACTTAGTGAAATTGAAAAATTATTTAGGGTTAACTCTGTTGTGGCAGCACAGAAGAATCTGCCAAGAGATGTGGTAATTTACTTTGGTAAAAGATCCTTACGCAATCAAATTGTGCAAGCCTATTATAAGAAGAGATTTCAAATTGCTTCACAAGATGTCATAATTTTTAAGGATATCCCATCTAAAATTTTAAGAAGAAGAAAGGAGTTTGCTTTTCTAGTAAATGAACTTAAAAAGAGAAAAATTCTATTCAGATGGGATATTCCGACTGGAATGGTGGTGAACTACCTGGGGACATGTCATAGACTTAATACTGTTTTTCAAGCAAAAGATTTTTATACTTCGGTCCTGGGGGTATGTGCATCGCCATCTATTAGGTCTCAACAAGTCCAGATTGAGGAGCAGAAGACAACTTGTGTAGCACATAACTCCAAAGAAAAGCAGCAACAGAAGAAGGTTAAGGAATTTTCATATTCAGCGGTCTCTGAATCTCTGGGAGATGTTGGACTTACAAAGTCTTTGGAGCAATCTTCAAGGGTGGCTTTGGGAGAAGTTAGACCTACAAAGTCTTTGGAGCAATCTTCAAGGGTGGAATTGCTGCCTGAAATCGAAATTGGGAAATTTCAGCTTGAGGGGCACCAACAAGAGAGGAACGGGCAGAGGATAACTTGTACAACTTATAACTGTGAAGATCAACACAAGGAGGAATTCACTGAGGAAGTTTTACAGGTATCGGTCCCTGAGACTTGTGCAACATATAAATGTAAAGAAAAAGTAACATCTAAATGTAAAGAGAAAGACCAACAGAAGAAGGAGGTTGAGGAAGTTTCACAGGTACTGATTCCTGAGCTGGTGGGTCAACCAGGACTTACAAACTCTTTGGAGCGATCTTCAAGGGCAGAATTCCACGCATTTTTTTCGATGCTTGCGGGCAAGAGAGACCAATATGGATTGTGCTTATAGTAGATGCAACTGTCTATTAGACAGAAGATTATGGATATTGAATGAAAATTTTAGATAAGAAGTTTGTGTTTATAGTGGGTGCAACTGGTTATTGGACAGAAAATTCTGGACATTGAATGAGAACTTTAGACAAGAAGTTTACTATTGAGATTGTGGGAGAAGTAAAACTTATATCGTTTTTGGAAAATGTCTTATGTAATGTCTAACTATGTGTTTTGGGATAATAATATATTTCAGTTTTAAGTTTTAAACCTTTAATGATAATATTGTTTAAACCTGTGTTTTGAAGGGATTATAATTTGTTTATTTCAGGGAGGGGATTCTAATAAATTTGTGTTTCGAAGGGAGTATAATTTGTTTAAGTTTCAAGTAATGCTTAAATTTGGTTTTTAAATATTATTATTAATATTTCTAAGAGAAAATAATTTGCTTAATTAAATGTCTATATTTGTTTAGGAAAGAAAGTAATGCTTAAATCTGTGTTTTTGGAGAAAGTTTATATAGAATGATGATTGTATTTAGATTTGTTTAGGATTTAAAAGTGTTTCAAGCTTTTAAATATTATTATTAATATTTTTAAGAGAAAATAATTTGTTTAACTAAATGTGTCTAGATTTGTTTAGGATTTTTAAGTTTTTTTTTTTTTTTTTGGATAGGTGAGAAGATGATGAAGATTGAAGGAAATATGTATTTACTTTAAGTTTTCTAAGAGTATTTATTTTTAATGGTACAACAAAGGTTTATATGTTTATCTTTTTGTATTAGGATAAAGAAAGAGGGAGAAATTAGATTTTACATTATAGCTATAGATATTCAAAGAAAGTAATGTTTAAATTTGCGTTTTTGGAGGGAGTTTATATAGAATGATGATTGTATTTAAATTTGTTTAGGTTTTAAAAGTGTTTTAAGTTTTTTTTCTCAATTAAGCCTGTACTCAGCTCTGGGAAGTCTAGGGGAGGGTTTGGGAGGTTGGGGAGGAGGGGGGTGAGGTAGGGTTGGGGGGGGTATGGGAAGGGGATTTGTTTTTGTAAAAATTTAAAAAATTTTCAATAAAAAAAAAAAAAAAAAAGATTATGGAAAAGGTTGCAGAAATACTCCTATGCCTTAAAGCAGGCATGTCAAACTCGCGACATGACGTGACGTATCAGGACTTTTTCCCCACTGCTGGCAATGGGGTGGATGCGGTTTTGGCGTCCGGCCCATGGGCTGGCAGTTTGACCTGCCTGTCTTAAAGCATGATTTCTTTGTTAAAGCATTTCTTGTATACTTTACTTTCATCTCCATGTCCCCTTTGCATAGAACAATGTAAGATGTCCTTGATTAAACGGAGGCAACAGGAATCTTAAACTTGTCTGCTTAAGACGTATGTCTTAACTTTGCAGTATTTATATGGTCCTGCAAAATATTAGCCTGAATTTCTTACAAGCTCTCTAGAATGAAAGGCTAAATCAATTTGAAGTTGCTTGTCTTAAGCAGCTTTATTCAAATGATTAACTAGATCAGTGGTGGCAAACCTATGGCATGGGTGCCAGAGGCGGCACTCAGAGCTCTCTCTGTGGGCACGCACGCCGTCGCCCCAGTCCTAGGCCTTCAGCTGGGTTTTATAAAACCTTTTCACTTTAGGCCTCCATCATCATGTGCAAAAAAAAAAAAAAAAAAGGTTCAATCAGTCAATTTTAACTTCTCACAGGAAAAAAAAAGATCTTGCAAAGTTGGAATTGATTGATTGAACTTTTTAGTCCCACTCAGTCTGCCATTACCACTGCAGCCACGCCCAGCCAATGGGTCACGCCTAGCCAATGGGCCATGCCCACCCAGCACTCGACGATGCATAAGTGGATTTTGGGTTGCAGTTTGGGCACTCGGTCTCTAAAAGATTCGCCATCACTGAACTAGAACTGAACATCTCATCACCTCTAGATTTTCAAGAATCAACTGAAGAAGCAAAAACTTTATTTTTTAAGAACTATAATTGCATAAAATGGTTCCTCTTTTATATTAATTCAAGACACCATCTAGTAAGACTATCACATTATCATTATCAAAATGTAGTGAGGTAAATAAATAGGCTGAGTTTTTGAGGAAAAAACAATTTAGGCCAAGCCTGACTTAACTAATGTTCTCCATCTGTCTTTTAACATAACATTGGTTCTATTATTAAAATCATAATTCTGAAGAATTTTCATCCAGTTTCCAACTCCAAACTTCTGTACACCTTTTTTTAATTTCTGGTCTTCTTCCCACTTCCATGGCTATAGAAAATTAAAATAAAATATAATAGATATTTTTTCAAGCAGTTTTGTTATTAGCTTAACCAGCAATTGCTGAAAGAACATTCTATTAACTCTCATTCTTGAAACCACAATTAAAGTCCATAGCATTTGCATTTTACAAAAGATCAGCGTTTTAAGAACTATTTCTTCTATTACCATTTTAAAGATATGAAAAGCTTGATGAAAAGCAAATGATTATTTCAGATGTGAGAATTACAGGGCAATAGTAGAAATTGCTTTTATAAAAACTTCTAAACACATAGACACACATCTCTGTTCACATTCATAAAACAGTCACTTGCAGATTATAGCAATATTTTCTTAAGCTGTAGCAATTTCTTGCTTTCTGTATTTATCATAAATCTTATCTTCAATATTTAGTGATTGTCATATGATTTTTTTAAAATTACAATTTGAGCTGCAAACCTGTTATACTGTATCAAAATACAGACTCCAATATAGAAATTATTTGAAAGGAGCAGACAATAAGAAGTCTACAAAGATCACTGCCTATATGCATTTAGGTTTCAATTATAAAATGGAAACATTAACATTTTTTCTGAATAGAGTTCTCTTTTCTATGTATATATACCCTTTACTTAGCAAGTTCAATTTCCTTAGAATATCATATTAACACCAAAGAACTTGGGACAGTTGAAATAGAAAGCTGATAAAAAGAAGCCAGAAACAACCAGTTTCTAAAATCAGAGGGGCTGAAACTACTGACAAATGTTTGTATTGTGTGGGTCTGAATATATGAGAATTATACATTCCTTGCTTTTCCTTTTGATAAGCAGTTGTAATAGAAGTGCCAAATGAGACAAGGCATCTTGGCTTCTTCACTGATAATTGGCCAGAAATATAGTACCTAGCTTGGCTTTTGTGTGATAGTTAAGATAACCTTTTGGGCATGCAAAGATCATAGTTTCAATCTTAAATGTTTAGCACAGCGGTTCTCAACCTTTGTGTGACGGCGACCCCCGTCACATGGATGCGCCCCCATGCGCGGCGGCGCCCCCATGCACGGTGCGCATGCACGGCGCCGCCCCCTGAGGGGAAAAAATGGCGGATCGCGTTGTTTGGCGACCCCCGTAAAATGGTCGTTCGACCTCAAATGGGGTCGCGACCCATAGGTTGAGAACCGCTGGTTTAGCATGTTGTAAATCATTTGTGGAGTAACTTTAGATATGTTGGATTTTAATTCCAATAAGCCAAGCCAGCAGTCTTCAGACATATTAGCTGCCTATTATACAAATTTAATTTCCAGACATTTGGAACAATTGAGGAAGGTTGACTTCCGCCATTGTATTTGGTGTCCCTTATTAAGTTTCACCATTGTTTTAGGTTTTATTTTCATGTCCTACTTGTATATTAGCCTATTTTTTTTTACTGTAAACCTCCCCCAGAATTTATATTAAGAAACACTTGGATGTAAAGAAGTAAATAAATATGTAAATATGAACACTACCGCACTTTTACCTATTACATTAGGTTTGACCATTCTGCATGGCCAGGCTGGATTGGAAATAACACTTTTATCTTGTTGGATCTTGTATGTATCAGACCATGCTTACAGACAGGCAGTCTTCTAGGGAAAGCAGGAAAATATTTTGGAAAAATGTTGTTTCTTTGGTTAATCTCATCAATATTATTTTAAATTAATACATTATTTTCAATTTTTCTTGTTTATACCTTTTTCTTCTGACAAGCTGGCAGAAACTCATCTTGTACAGCATTTGTAGTATTTTGCAGATTTTTTTTACCTGGGTCAGAGAAACAATACAAACATTTCTTTTAAACCCTGAAGTACTATGTATTTTTAATGGCTACATATTAATTAAACTACACTTAATTATGAGATTAGCAGCAGGACTAATACAACAAATAGAATAAAGTGAATCAATAAAAAATAAAACAAATGGATATCATTTTTAAGAGGCAAAAAGAGAACCTTTGAAAAAATGCTCTGAATAAAGATATGTCTTTTATGAGATTTAAGATTCAAAGGTGTATGGAGATTAGCCCAAGTAAAGCTGAACTTAGTCAATATAAATGAAAATACATCAAGCACAGAGCATGCCAGGCTATAGAATGATTATTAATACCTTGGTCTATACTTTGATTTCCACAAGAGACTATTTTTTAAGTGAAAGTCAGGACTCTGAAGCATGGATTTTGGGAACGGGTAACTGATTCCATCCATATTTCCAATATATCCATCCTGTTCAGATATACTGAAATTACGCAGTTACTTACATTGAAAGGCTTTTCGTTTTATATTTTTGGACACAGAAGTCCGTATTTGCCTTGGTTTCCAAAATGACTGATCAGGTAAGGAACAGGAATGTTTATGTAATCTATAGGAGAATGAAAAAAGGAGATATGATAGAGAATACCTATATGGCTGGTGAAATTTTCCTCCCCTTGAATTATACCATTCTTTGCTAAATTCCACTATCTGCCACTTTTCTAACATATAATACATTAAAAAAACTAACTAGGAGCCGTTTATTTACCAGTATAATACATTAAAGATGAAAATAAAAATCTGTAACCAAGATAACTACTCATGTTGGTATAAAACTAGCAAATTCCAGGACATTCATACTTTAGAAGGGTGCTTGGTGTGTTTTCCAAGTGATTTTCTTTGTTTATTTCAACTGTACTGTCGCATTGTATGTTTACCATTATTCCCAAATTTTTTGTTTTCACCTCTTTTGTAGCTTCCTGTAAAACATCAACATTTATTTAAGAAATACTACTTTTCATATCTTTCTCAGTGTTCCTAAAACACTTTTTACAAGATATGTTAAAGATTTAAAACATAAGACCCAATAAAAATGTAAAATAAAGCAGCAATATAATTAACAACTAGAGCTGTTCAGTTCAGTAGGGATGTTCTCACTCTAGGATGATTTAATGAATCAGAGACAAGACCTGTGTTCTGTTACTACCTCAGTAAGCTCTTGGAAATCATATTCAGAGCAAGGAAAGCCTAATAACTCTAGATTCAGACCAATAATCAAGATGAATCATCATCACATACTTCAGTAGTATGGTATTTATTCAAGTAGCGAATAATTACATTTTCTCATTCCATTTTTCCCCCTTCCAAAAATAGTAACCGTTTAATGAGGTTTATGTAGGGAGGAATTTATAACTTCCTGGATCTAGCTACGGGCAAAGGGCAAGCAAAAATGGTTGGCTGCATTCAGTCAATGCATCAGGCAGGAACTGAAACTAACACAAAGAAGCCTCAGAAGATAAGAATCTGGGTACATCTATTAATTGAACTGCTAGAATTGTAGCTTTGTCATGAAACTAATTCTGCTCTAATCCCATCCAAGCTACAAATTGTTACAATGTTATACATTTGGTCTATTGCACCTACTACTCTGATGTTATTTAAAATTTGGTAGTTTGTATAATACTATAGTTTTAACAATTAGAACATTTCCAATACTTTACAATATTTTAATGAGTAAGACATTCAGTCACTTATATACACTATACAATATAAATTGAATAATTAACATTTACATAATTGAATTAGTACACACTACTTTTATTCTATTTTATTATGGTTTTCAACATACCTGCATTAAAAAATTGTTAGTTTCTTTTTTCAAGAAAATATTGATATAAGTTTTAATTCTCTCAGTCAAAAGATTGAAACTGAAAAATCGAAGAAATGGATGATATGGATCTTTTTGTTTTACTATTGCAGAAAGCTTCATTCTTAAAGGCTACAGAAAGAAAAATCAGAATATAATAAATACTACATATTGTGCCTGTAATCTTGCCAATGGTATATATTTTAAAAGAAGCAGAACGTTAGTTTTGCTGCCAGAAATCAAAATGTAGGAAATTAAATCTATATTATTCCATTATAAATAATACAATATAAGTGATAAGTACATGCAAATTATTTTTCCTAATAAGGTGAGGAATGACAAATTCACTTTTGTTAGATTTTGTAGAATTTCATTTTGTAGAAGCTTTCAGTTTTTCCTTATAATTTTTATACAACTGTGTAGATAAGATGGTAATAGCTTCTTTAGCTCAATTCTCTTTAGTCAAACTCTTGGGCAACCAAAGCAATGCATCTCATGCCAAACACTCTCCTCTAATCTTCCTTTACATTCCTTCATTCCACATTATTCTTTTTAAAATACCCACATCTCAGTTAAACATCCCATCCTACATATCATGATTTGTATTCATTTTTGTTTTTTTTCTGCCTTTAATTATTTGCTCCAGCTAGTTTTCCAATCCAGCAATAAATATATGGTGTCCACTTTCCAATATTTTATAGAAGTGAAGCAATCTTAGTCACAGTAAATTATATAACATACAGTAGGTAAATATAATGATCTGAAAAAGAAATCTGATGCCAATGTCACCAGTATGAATTTTTCCTTTTTTTATTTTCTTAAACAAATTTATATGGCTGTCCAACTCACACACACACTGGCTTCAGGTGTTTACAGGATTAAAAATCCACAATCGAAGTTTCTTAAACTTTGATAGCGTTGAGTGAAATTTAGATGGCAGTAAAATAATATCTGGAATTATTGCAGAGAAATTGAATAGGAAGGAGGCATGAAATTGGATCAGAAACCTTAATTTGGACTACTGAAAATTCCTGGAAGTTTTATTGTCTGTTTTAACATTAATAGAATAGAGGACAACTTTATTTTTGACTAAGGCCACACATTTCTTAGTTTGGATTTCAAAAGGCTGCCTGGTGTACTGTAACTAGTCAATAAAGCTAACATTTTAGCTTTTTTACTATTGGATATTTGGAGTTTACTGAGAATATCAGTATTTGGTGTCCCAGAAATAAAATGCATCTATTTAACTGTCCAAAATGTAAAAGACAAAACAGGGAAAATATTATAGAATTAAAATACTTTTAATCACTGATTTCAGCAATGCACCCTGAAGGTCACAAAACCAGATTGGGGGCACCGGTTGTTCACCCATACTTTAATGCCTTCATAGATTGCAAATTAATAATGACTAGAAGAGTAAATCCTGAAAGTTGTTTTATCAGCTTAGTAAATCGGCACATTGATCATTTAAGAATATCTCATGCATTTTTATTTCACAAGGCTTCAGAATAATTGTCTAATTTAATTCAATACTGAACATACTACCTCATTGGATGAAGATTCTGGAAAAAGTCTTTCTATCACTTCTGCAGCCTCCTGAAAATATCCTTTTTCTACAAATACAGCAACAGCCTATGAAGAGACAACTTTAAGTAATGACTTCCATTCTTTATAACAAATCTGGGAACAAGACAACTGCTGCAATTTAATGTTATGATCAACTGTACTTTTCCTTCTAGCAACTCATCTTGATGTATGGTGCCAAAGAGCCTTTACTCTGTCCTTCCCCTTCAGCATGATGGAGGAACCCATCAGCCAAATAAATGTTTCACTAATTCCATTAACTAGTACGAGGAACCGGAAAATCCCTTCCACTGCTACTACTAAGAACTCTTATAGACAGGATCATTTGTTAGAGACAGCTTCACCCTTTCCCCGCCTGATTTTCAGTGTGGATACAGGAGTTTCCACAGGTAAGTGAATGAAGCAATATTGACAATGAATGGAAAAAAGAAGCATGTTTGGCCTATGGCATGGGGGCAGAGGATGACGGCTGCTACTCCTGCATGTCTAGCTACGTTAGTGGGATAACTGGAACTGATCCTGGGAGTATCTTATTCAACACCTTCACTTCTCATATTTCCTTTGTGCTATTCTCTATGCTTTTTGCCCATCCAATATGACTCTGCTCTTTTTTTTCCACAAATGGCTAGAGTTTGCGTGGTAGCTTTTCATTCACTTATATGGCCACAGGCTATAAATGATCATGAGATTTCATGCTGCTGCCAATTAACTGTAAAATCAAATAAATGTTTAAATTCCTAAATGAATTTTAAAGATGCAAGGATGGATTTGATGAAAACAAAGAATTTGTATTTTGTGAATGATAACAGTTTCCATGGAAAGTATTGTGATAGTTTTGAAGTAGTTCTTGACATAGCAAAAAGCCTTAAAATATTAAACATTGTCCTTCCTACCTCAATTTATGACATAAACATTTTGATCTAACTGTGAGAATCCATAAACGAATTTCTAGATTTTCTTGGATGGCATTCTGAATTAAAATGAATATATTGATCTATAATCAAACCTGAATCTGAATTAAGCACTTGATATCTTCATGCAATTTATCTTGTTTTCTTTGTGTTTTTAGGAATGAAGTCCAAACCGACAAAGCATTTTCCAGTGGTGAAAGTCTTTGGTCATCTCCAAAATCAGAATCTTAAGAGAAATGAGAAGTAGTTAAATAGCAGCATAGTATTTTAAAGACCAAAAAATAAACATCCATACATATACTAGAAGTCAATTTCTTCCTTTGATTTTTGGTTCACAGAAGAAAGTTTGTTAAATAGAGATCATCAACTATGCAACTGAGGTGGTTAAACACCAAGCCAAACTGTGGATATAATTTAGAGAGGGAGCAAATCAAATAGCATAAAGATCCTTTATAATTTATTTTGCTACTTATTGTTAACTGTATTTGAAAAACTACAATAAACTATCAAGGTCTTCAGTTCAGAACAATAGTTCTAAATAAGATATGAGTTTGCACCTGATTAAAGACAACATGAACTTATATTAAATGCATTATTTTATAATATAAATTAGCCCTACAACTATTATTTTTCTCTGAGCTAGGAATTCAAGAACCATAGCAGTAATCTATTCAAGCAATGTTTTTTGTAACTTAAGGACTTGTTTACAAATACTGAAATATGCTGCTGACTTGAAGCTGCCATTAGTGCAGAGCCAGACAATTGCCATTGCTGAGTATAAGAACACGATCATATTTCAGAAAATATGTGGTTTGTTGCTATCAATTTACCAAACTTTTTGGATCTCTTGCTTTTATTAACAGTGGTTATTTCTAATAATTTAAGTAGTTTTTTGGCTAAAACATATTTTTCTATAAATAAGCATAAATATAATTAGTATTAATTTTCAAGCATCTAACTAAGAATTTGCTCTCCAAAGTCAAAGCCAAAATATTAAAATGTTTTACCAAATATTTTTCCTTCTGCAATATATGTCAACAACTGACAGAGGCACACCGTTTCCTTTTGATGAGTTTCTATTTTGTGGAACCCTTTAATAATAGCTGAAAAAAGAAATCAGACATGTCAGTTATGATTTTATTCCTACAGTGCCACTGTGTGGTTATCAGTAACTTTGTCTATAATACTAAATATAATAGAATTCACTCCCACGTAATTGTATTTACAACTGGAACATTTCAGAGCAATTTATACTGATACTATGCTAGTCAGTCAACAATTAACCCATCTGTCCCCCAATTCGAAATAATTTGTACTATAAATCACTAATGAACATCAATGAAGAGAGAAAATAGAACTTTTTAAATATTTGTCATTCTGTAATGCTCTATAACAAACATCTCAAAAATTACAAATATTCAACAGAAACTACTAAAATTGTGACAAAAACGGATTTCTCCATTGTAATAGAAAGGTGCCTGGGAAAAAAGGTTTATAGATTGTTGAGAGCTGCCTAGAGCCACTGCTCCGAGAAACATTTTTTTTTCTAAAAAAAGGCAGCACATATACAACGAAATAAAGCAAAGAAGTGTAAAAAGTGTCAGTATGATAGAAAAGAAATGCAGCCGTTGAACGTCTGACAGGTAGAATCATTGCCATAGCTGCAAAGAAAGCCCAAAAGAGAGGCAACAGGCAGTTTCTACTCTACTGAGCCATGCATTATGGGTTTGGGCACCGGCACCAGCACCATCAATTGAGGAATTTTGCCAGTTGAAGTCCATACGGTTTAGAACAGGGGTCTTCAAACTTGGCCCTTTTATGACTTGTGGACTTCAACTCCCAGAATTACCAGCGGCCACAACTCCCTTCTCCCACATCCCGCCAAACAGCCAAGTACTTAGGGCCAGGTCTCTGCTCCTCTCGAAGTCGATGCGGTTGCCCTCGCAAAAATGGCGGCACAGGCAGCGGCAGGCAAAATTCAGCATCCATCCAGCGGCTGTCGACTCCACCTCAGCGAATAGGTCCAAAGAACTACTCTCTGTTGTGCCACAATCCACAAAGGCCGCCTCCACCGTCGTCTGTGGCAAAGAAGCGGCATAGCTCCCGACAGTTAAATTACTTTCCTGCTCCATTTTCAAATATCTCACCCTGCTTTTCCACTCTCCGCCCTGCTATGACAACCGCCCTGCTACGAAGTGCTCCACTCTGGCCACACCCTCTCTCCGAGCGATTGGTCGAGCGGGTCCCCTTCTTTCTTGTCACGTGCCTTGTTCGCACTTTTCGCTCCGTGGCGAATAGGGAGTGTTCTCTGATTCCCGCTTGCGGAGTCTGTTGGGAGGAGAGTGGGAGCTGCAAGCGTCGAATGATTAGTCCAGCTTATATCTCTCCTCTTTCCCCGCATTAAAAATTAGTAATTTATCTCAAGTCACCGCACTGCAGAACGAAACACGAAGACTTACATAAGTTTGACAACTTTTAAGATATGTGGACTTCAACTTCCAGAATTCTCCAGCCAGCATGCTAATTGAGGAATTTTGCCAGTTGAAGTCCATACGGTTTAGAACAGGGGTCTTCAAACTTGGCCCTTTTATGACTTGTGGACTTCAACTCCCAGAATTCCTCAGCCAGCGTGCTGGCTGAGGATTTCTGGGAGTTGAAGTCCATAAGTCATAGAAGGGCCAAGTTTGAAGACCCCCTGGAGTAATAGGACTGGAAGGGATAGTAAAGGTCTTGTAGTCTAACTCTCTGCCAAGGCAGGAATCCTTATACCATGCTGGACAAATGGTTGTCTAATCATTTTTGAAAATATCCAGTGATGGGGCACCTGTAACTCTGGGAGACAAGATGTTCCATTGTTTTCACTGTCAGGAATACCTCCTTAGTTCCAGGTTGAATCTCCCTCTGACCAACTTCCAGCCTTACTTCTTGTCCTGCCCTTAAATGCTATGAAGAATTAATCGACTCCTTATTCTCTTTTACAGCACTTCAAGTATTGAAAGACAGCTATTGTGCTGAACAACACTGGTTTACACTGTATGTGCAAGCTCCCTTCGTTTCTTAAATCAGTTTATCTTCCCTTCTAACAGACTAAAGCCCGGGGGCCGGATGCGGCCGGCAATGTGGTTTCATGTGGCCCGCGAAGCTATCCTGGAAACAGTGAGGGAATGGCCCCTGCTGTCTTAGACCTGGCCCAGGCCTCCCGGGAGCCAATGTACAATTTTGTAGTGGCCATCTATGCTGAAACACATTCAGTCTCAGCTCCACAAGGCCGTCTGGAAACAGCAAGGGACTGACCCCTGCCGTGTTGGCCCCGCCCCCTGGGTGCATGCTGGGGAGGTGTCACCCTTTGTGAGGAATGAAAAAATGCACCATTGCTTGGAAGTGGCCAGCAAATGGCCCTCGCCTACTCTTCCAGTGGACCATGCCTTGGCACTTGCCCCGGTCCCATTCCCTTCTGCCAGAGACCCTCAGATCTGTCCCACTCCTACCCAGGCCCCCACAAGCACCCTTGATGCGAACGATGAAGAGCTGGCCATGCCCACCCAGTAGGCCACACCCACTTCAGCTATGCCCACCCAGTAGGCTGCACCCACCCTGGCCACACTTACTCAGCCCCCCGAGGACAACCGCAATGGTGATGCGGCCCTCAATGAAATTGAGTTTGACACCCCTGGACTAAAGTGTGTATACCGTGATCTCCATACCTTACAATGGGAAGGCTTGATGGAAGGGACTGGCTTAAAATCACAAAATTAACGATAATTCTGAACATTTGGAGAATAAACTCCTTTGGGGATAGAGTGCGTTATAAACTAGCCAATTTCAGATCATTTTAGCGATCTGAGCGAACTTAGCCTGTTGTCTAGTAACTCTAATGGAAGGTTTGATGTGTCATGAGAATCGGTACACAGGGTTGAGTAAACTGTACTAATGTGAACCGAAGAGGCTCTACGGGTGCAGTAAGCGTGTTGATTTGTTCTGGAAAGAGCAACGGTTTGATCTCAGTTCAAATATTCCTCACAATGCTGTGGGAAGCATTAATAATTCAGGAAGAAGCAGGCATGCGAGGAGCGTAATTGCCCTTCCTGAAGACATTACAGCCTTTTAGGGATGAATGTTTTCCTGCTTTCACACTGGTGGGATGGGAGCATGAGGGTGGTCTCATGTTACACTTTCCTTTTTTGAAGAGAATTGCACAAAGAAATCACGGCAGTAGAGTGAGTCAACAGGCGGAGAAGCTCTTTGAAGGTCTGATCCTGGGCGAGGCTGAATTAAGATCACACAAAGGGCTGAAATGCGCGGAAAATGTGAGTGCACCTGGAGAAGCCGGAAACGTGTTGTGCCATAGTATTTGGTCCCTATGATTTTCTTTACTGGAGATCGTGTCAGCAATGCTGAATGTGTAACTGCAGTAAAAGCTGTAAATAATTGAGTAGGTGCAAAGGATAAATGAACTATCAATGTACTGATCTATTCCGCTATGTCCAATAACTGTCATTCTAATAAACGTTTAATCTTAATCCATTTTGAATTATTAAGCAATGTTGCCTTTTGCTCAGACAAGATTAGCAACTTCTTTTAATTGTTTCCAGGCTGTTCAGCATTAATATGTGATGATGATTATTATATGAACAATAACACAATTTATTTAGAGAAGTTTTAACAGTTTGAAAATAGAGTATACTTTCTTAAGGTTCATTACAAAGTGACCCCTTAAGAATCCTAGGATTTAATGAAGTCCTGCCTATTATTTAATAAAGTCTTTCTTTCTTAAGGCTTCCCAAGGTTTTAACTGTGTGCTCTATGTCTTTGTCTTTTTTCCTTTTTTATTATTGAAAGGAATTCTATTCTCTACAATGATATGATTTCACTATAAGGAGGTTCATAATATTTTCAAGACAGGAAAATTAGCAAGGACACTAATTCTCTGTTTGCCTGCCTGCTTGCCTTTTTCTGACAACCACATTTATATTCCTAATATTGGAAATAAGCTGAATAAATGAAATATTTTCTTTGTAGAAAGAGAATGTTAAACCCCCCCCCCACAATGGTTTAAATATTTAAATTGCATAGCAGCCTAACCCACCTCAGGGGATTGTGGTGTGGAAAATAAGAGGCAGGAGTATTAGGTATATAGTGGTTGTTTGTTGTTAGCAATTGAGACTGAGAACTCTGTCAAGCAATGCAGTTGTAATGCATGATGTCATAATTGTGAGCCACTTGCCAAGTGCACAAATTGTGATCATGTGATCACAGGAGTGCCGCAACAACGGCAAGTATGAGGACCCAACATAAGTTCCCTTATTCAGTATCATTGTAACTTTGAACAGTCACTAAACAAGTGGACATTAAATGAGGACCATATATAAAAAAGGCAGGATAACAATATAATAATATTTTATTTTTGTAAAAATGTTCAACATCTTAATTTTTCATTATTAAAAAATACTGTTTTAGGAAATCTACATTGTACCCATTCCTCAAATAAAATATAATAAAAACATGAAAGCATTGTCATTTTATAATTGCTATGTGCCTTCCACCATTTCTTCTTTGTTCTCTCTCATACAGATTAGATTAACTTCGTAATTTCTGCCATTTTTATACTTCAGTTAGTATTTATTGTTATTCTATAAATATAATAAACAGTATTTGCTTTTCATTATGAACCATTTACTTGCCACAAACATATTGCAGTTGATATATATTCTGCTTTATACATATGTTTTCCCCCATGTACTGATCTAATAAAGGGTCAGGTGTACTTGAAGTAGCATATAAGCCTGAGATACACAGCCATAGGACTAAAAATCATGGAATGCTTACTTTTTGTCACATAAGCAATTACTGAGCATTCCCAGTGGATAGATAAAAGCGGTAAACCTTGAAAACATAAAACAGACCAGATGAACAGAACAATCCTATACATTACAGAAGAAACCCCAGTTGACTTAAATTTCCAGCAAGGTTCTCTGTCGTGGACAAAAGTGTTAGGTATTTGTTTATTTATTTACTCATTATATATGACTGCCCATCTCCTATGCATGAGTCTAGTAGTAACAGTTAAACAGAATAAAACATAATAAAACAACATTAATAACATAACAGCAACTGTGAACGTAACTATGACAGAGAAGAAAACACATTATCATTATACAGTACACGAAGGGTAACTTGTCTGATCCATTGAAGAGGAAAGTAGGTGTCTTTTGGCAACTGAACAGTTTAGCAAATCCCATTAAAATATCATCATGGTTTCAATAGAGGAAATAATAGGACAAGGATATAGCATACTAAATTTTTTTATTACTTTGTAACCATTATACTGTAAGTTCAAATATAAAGAAAATTTAGCACCAATGTAAATTTTCAAGCCCTACCTTGATATTACGTTATTATCTGTTTTCATTCCACATATTTTTCTGTAAAAATCCAATTGTAACAGTACCCAAGTGATTCATTGGAATATAAAAATGATACAAATAAATGAATAGGTAGAATACATGAAAACAAAAAAGCACGAACATTTGTTGTTGAATTATAGTTAATTGAATGTTATATATTGGTTGAAATAGCCTGGTTAAAATGATTTGTGGTTGCAATTTCAGGGGGCTATAAGGGTAGCTTTAGCGAGGAAGCAGGTTTAGGTAACACATAAAGTCCTTCCCTCCAGAACAAAGGATAACATTTGTATCCCATGCTTGGATGCACAGGAATTATGCTATTCTGCTGAAACTCTTGTCACAGGGGGAATATGTGTCTTGTTTGGGGTGTTGCTGAAGCTGCCTCCAACTTCAGATCAAAACATTTATTTTATTCCATCTACAGATAGTCCTTGACTTAAGACGATTTAATGATGGTTCAAAGTTACAGCAGCCTTGGAAAAAGTGATTTATGACCTGTATTCATAACTACAACCGTCTACTACTCTCATGGTCACATAATTGCAATTCAGGCACTTGGCAAAAACCTCATATTTATGATTGGTTTCAGTATCCCATGGTCAGATGATCATGATTTGCAACCTTTTTTTGTTGATTTCCAGCAAAAACAAAAACAAAAAAACCCCCATCATTAGGGAAGCTGGATTTGCTTCATGACCATTATAAAAATTGTTGTAGTATCAAGTCTGATTTGGCTTATGACTACACTGACTTAATGATGGAAATTCTGGTCCCTATAGCTACTTGCTGCAAAGAGAGA